ACAAAGTATATGTGAACTGCTGTATGGAAAGTGAATTTGCTCTGTAAATCTTCACCCAAATCACAATAAAAAAAAAAAGAAGAGGAAGAAGAAAAAGAATATATATATACAGTAATGCAAGTGCTTGGCACATCTCTGAAAACGCAGTGTCTTATCATTGCTCAGGAGTCTCTGGGTCAGCTGAGTGGTTCTTCTCATCCGGATCATGCTAAACTTCCTTTAGCTGGCCTTGTTTTGCCTGGGCTTGCTCATACATCCCAATCAGTTTCTGAGTCATCTGGAGGCTGGCTGGTCTAAGATGTCCCCAGCTACAGCAGCTTTATTCTGCTCCACATGGTCTTTTATCCTTCAGCAGCCTAGCCCGGGTAATAGTTTCACCTAGAACTGAGCAAAATTCAAAAAGAGAGAACAGAAGTGCACAGGCCTCTCGAGGCGTAGGCTCAGAATGGGTGTGATGTCATTTTTACTGCCTTTTGGTAGCAGTCTATTGGCCAAAGCAATTCATTCTTAATGGGGGAATGTTCTGGTTACCTAGTGCCGCTCTGACAGAATATACCACAAATGGGGTGGCCTTAGCAAACAGCAGTTTATTCTTACAATTGGGAGGCTTCAAGTCCAAGTTCAAAGTGCCAGGCTCTAGAGGCTGGGTGAAAGCCCCTCAGCCTTGGGTTTCAGCTCTGCCTCCTGCTCCCGGCCCACTGGAGCTAGAGGCGTTTCTTCACTCAGAATACTGGCTGGGCACTAAAATGATCTTTCCCAGGATTTTTTTCCTCACTGTTACTAGTCAAGGATCTTTTCCCCACTATTAAGAAAGATGTGAGCATCCATCATTCCAGTCTTATGGAGAACCTAGTCTGTGAAAGTAAAGATGTCACAGTATCTCTTGTTTCAGTCATCCTTGGGATCAGCAACCCTCATTGCCTCTGTGAACTTTAGTTATGGGAGCCAATAGTCTCATTTTTGCCTGGGCTAGTTTAAATTGTGTTTCTGCCTCTTATAACTAAAGGAGTCCATATAGATCCACACCATACATCTACCATAAAAGACAATTTTTGTACCTTCTGGAGTATTCACTAAAAATGTTTAAAGAGTCACCTTTTCTTTTTACTTATGGAGTAGGCTTTGTAATTCATATATCTGCACAGAACAGACAAGTAAATAAAAATGACTAATTGAGGCAAAGTGGAACTCTGGAAGACTGAAGAGTGTGTCCTCTCTCTAAAGGAGGTAGTCACTCTTCAGGTTCAACAAATTGTTTTCTTAAGAGAATGTGAGCCCAGTGTTGCTGGATCTTCCAATTTTTCAAAAAAAAAAAAAAAAAAGGTAAAATATCAATTTTAATATTAAATTTCCAGTATGTAAAATATAGTTGTTAGGCGCTGTCAAATGGACTTTGATGCATAGTGATCCCAAGTGACAGAGTAGAACTGCCCCATAAGATTTTCTAGGGTTTACAGGAGCAGGTCACCAGGTCTTTCTCCCATGTGGCCACAATGTGGGTTCTAACTACCAACTTTTGGTTAGCAACCAAGCACTTAACCATTTGCATGACCATGACTTGTTAATGTGTAAGTAATAGAAGCAAATTCAATTAACTCATACATCAGATACATCCATGAACTAACAGCTTGGAATCTCCATTATGACATTTATGATGAATTCATCATAGAACACAGCTGACTCACTGCTGAGTTCAGTACTTTCTAGGACTTCATTCTTTCTTCACTTCTATTACCACCACAAAAATGTTGAACACTTCACAAGCATTGGAGTTCATATGACAAGAATGTTGTTGTTGTTATGTGCCGTCAAGTTGGACCCGACTCATAGCAACCCCTCCTTGGGATTCCAAGGCGGTATCGCTACGGAAGTAGATTGCCCAACCTTCCTTCCGAGGAGTGGCTGGTGGGTTTGAACTGCCAGCCTTCTAGTTAACAGTCAAGTGCCTTAGGCACTATGCTACCAGAGCTCCTGGGACAAGAATAGAGGCCAAGAAAACTTTAGTGTAATGAGGCTGGTGGGCTTCGTTGCCACCTTACCCAGCATACCAGCTTGATGGTACATGGTTTCAATTCATGTCTTAAGAAAACCACAAATTATAATATGCTATGAACCAGAAAACTACTTATGAAGGGTGACTAAGGGCCATATTATCAGGGGTTCCAGTAGTCTTTATCAGGCAAGTAAGCCTGGTCTTTTCTGTGATTCTGAGTTTTGTTCCACATTTTTCTCCTACTCTATTTGAGATCTCCTATTGTGACCCATTTGAGAGCAGTCAGCAGTGGTAGCTGGGCACCATCTAGTTCTTCTAGTCTCATGGTCATAGAGGCTGGGGTTCACATGGTCTATTCGTCCTTTGGACTGTTTAGGATATTTCATTTTATAAAAGAATTTACCTAAAGACATCACTAGAAGTTAAGATACAGGAAGTCCCCTGGTTACGAAATCTTACAGACAGCTCTTACTTGCTCTTTAATATTATGTAAACTTGCCCTCATTTTGAAATGATGGAATCAACCCCTAGAGGTCAAATTCTTCATCACAATCACTTCCACTTGCTGCATGTGCAGGTTTTAAATCATTGAAAAGTCTTTCAAATTTTTCTTGTACTAAAAAACCAAAAGCAAAATTCATTGCCGTAGAGTCGATTCAGACTCATAGGTACCCCTCCTTGAGTTTCTGAGGTGGTACCTCTACGGAAGTAGATTGCCCAGTCTTTCTTCTGAGGAGTAGCTGGCGGGCAAGGCTAAATAAGAACTGTATGCACTTGTTCCAACTCACGTATAAATTCCACTTAAAGACTTAAAGACGAGTGAGTTAGGAACAGATCTCCTTTATAAGCCAGGAACTGCCTGTGTACAAACATACATATATAGAAAATGGGACTACACTATGTTTTGTTTTTATACCAAACTAATAATTATGACTGCTTCATGTGCATAGGATGTGCTTTACTATTGTCTTCTCTTTTTATAGTAAATACATATTACTTTAAAAACATTTTAAAGTTCCTCCAGTACAAAGTTAAAAGACTTGCATTAAAAAACTAGGATTCACATTTCTTTTTCCAGGAGCATGCCTAGTGTAAATTTCCATAAGAATTTACTGAGCTTCTATGAGTCTAGCATTGTCTTAAGTACTTCAGAAAACACCAAGGTAAAATGTTATATCAAGATCTAAAAGACGAGGAAGAAGTGATGACTAAAAATAATACAATACTTTTTGTGACTATATGTTTAAAAAATATTCTTGTCAATTTATAATTATGCTGCTATCATTCATCAAAATAATTTTCCATTGACTTTCAGGTTAGATTTTTTTTTTTTTTAAGTTTGCAGGCATTACAGTTTTATTATATTGTTTTGTTTTGCTTTTTTTGCAGGCATTACAGTTTATAGACTTTTTTGGTAGAGTGGAAAGGGCAATGTGGAAGCTGATCAAAGTCATTTAGGTGAAGACTGATACATATGAAAGTGAGAAAATTATCTTTCAAATGATAGTGATTGATTATGTGATGATAGGGTTTTCTTTTTCATACAAAATATTTTTGAGAAAGCCTTCTGAAAACGTTTGTGACACAATGGATACAAAAAAGGATTAACAAAAGAATTGAACCACTGAAGCCAAAATAGAATTTCATACCAATTTGGTTTAGGTTTGTCTGAAAGAAAAATTATGGACACAGAATGGGGAGCCCAGCAAATGGCAAAAACGCTTAAGAGTATGGCCAGTGACCTGGCTAATTTCTTGGCTCTGAGCAGTTCCCTCTGCTGAAGAGTTATAGAATCTGAATGGGAGATGGAACACATTTTGGAAGCAATTGTATTGTTATTTATCTGCCTTCTTAATGAAAGAAGGAGACTATCCTTTCTTCTCTGTTTCTCTGAATGAAGGGGTGCTCCTGTTTCCTTCAGTTTAGAAAGAGACGTCGTAGAAATTAGTCCACTTTTGGATGAGTGTCCAGAGTTGCTGGAAGAGACAGGAGGACTGATGCCATGATGGCTTTGGCTTCTACTGAGACTACTACGCTTCCATAGGCTCCAGTAAATGTATATGTTAAAATAAGCCACCGAGATGACTGGGACCAGAAATTCAAAGAATGATGTGAAGGCAATGAGGTACTTTGATGAAAAAAATCCAGGCTCACATGTTTTCCTGTCTTCCTTCCAAGACTGTGAAACTAGGATCATTGGGCCATGCACTAAGAAGGCTAGCACCCAAACAGCCACCATCAGAGCCACAATCTTCAAGATCTCAGTTTGTTTAACTCTATAGGATACCTAAAAGAGACAACATAAATGATTTACAGTCTAATGAACATGTATTGATTTCATAAAGTATCCCAGAGACCCTCAGAAACCCAGGAGTACAAGAAGTGGGGGCCTGGGTATCCTGAGGTGGTTTTCATTTCAGTTGAGCCCGTGCCTAGAAGCAGACCTTCTTGATGGTTTTCAAAGGGAAGACTGTAACCCTCAAGGTTAAACTGCTGACACTATAGCAAATGTAAAGGCCAATATGTAAAACAAGGAAGGAATTTCCCTAATCCGCAGACACTGATTTGAACTGTCAAGCAACTGATACTTGGCCTCCTTACATTTCCTAATGTGCAGGCTAGATCATTAAGAGTTTGTTTGTTTGTTTTAAAATGAAATAGAATAGTAAATCTGAGAATGCATCACACATAGTAAGGGTAGAATTGCTGGATGAAACTTGCTTCGGGAATGTAGATACACATAGAAAAAAATTCATATACTAAATCACAGTATAAAATTTCATTTCCCATTCTGGTCGCAGTCAAAAAGTTTGACGGTGACTGCCTTATCTGATTTAAATATTCAGAAAGAATCTAGTCTGTAGTTTCTGCTGAGATGTCAAGGGGGGATCAAGAGAAGAAAGAAGAATTCTTCCAACATGCCCAAGAAGGTGAAACATTAACAGAAAGAAAGTTACAGCTGCTGTAAACAAATGCTGCAGTGTTCTTCAGCATTATCAAATTGCTTCTTTCTACAAATGTTTCCATCTGACAAATAGAGGACAAGGTTGTGACTAGCAGCAACTTTGAGAGATATGATGGGCAAGTGCTGCCTCATCTACTCCTTTAACAAGCCTAAAACTAATGAATACTGTATCTGTGCATCAGTAAGAGAAGAGCTTAACTCAAACACCTTCTCTGGTAGTGTAGTGCCTAAGGCACTTGACTGCTGACTGGAAGGCTGGTGGTTCAAACTCACCAACCACTCCTCAGAAGGAAGGTTGGGCAATCTACTTCTGTAGTGATACCACCTCGGAAACCCTAGGAGAAGTCGCTATGAGTTGGGTCCAACTCAACAGCACATAACAACAACGACAACAAAGAGTAAAGAATGTTCTAGATCCACTTACAAAGACAGGTATTTATAGAGGCAAATGAAATTCAGTGAGTGAGGATCACCCTCATGTCACAGAATCCACAATAATTTTCAGGGGTGATCCTGAAATTTGTAAGTATCCCCTACATTGTTGTTATGTGCCATCGAGTCAGACCCGACTCATAGTCACCCTCCCTTGGGTTTCTGAGGCAGTATCACTACAGAAATAGATTGCCCCGTCTTCCTTCCAAGGAGTGGCTGGTGGGTTTGAACCACCAGCCTTCTGGTTAGCAGTCAAGTGCCTTAGGCACTACGTTACCAGAGCTCCCAGTATCCCCTACAAGAAATCTATATTCTCCAAGGTCGACTACGCAATACAGGTGATAAAGTTACAGAGCAAAAACATTTTTAAGGAGACCTTGAAGAGATGGTCTCTTTGAATCTGTTTTGGACTTGTAAATTTCCTTTCGGCTCAAATGTTCCACATTGCTCTGACTTTCTGTTCACAGGAAGGAAATGACCTACACGTGAAATTGGAGCACACCTCCCTTATCACCATCTCTCATGTCTGTGAGTGTCAAATCTCAGTCTACAATATTTTCTCCTTTTTATTAAAGGGGCATGTCCTTGCCCACTGCTGCCTTTCTTTGATAGATTATGCATGCTGAGAAGGACTCATGAATAGGCTAGAGGAAAGAGGAAGCTGAAAAAAAAGTTACTTTAAAAAACTGCAGGGAAGTGGTTTTTTGTTTGTTTGTTTTTCTCCAAAATTACTGGTATTTTTGAGGCTAAGCTAAAATGGATATGGTGCTGATCACAACTTCTCGCCTACAATACATTTTTTTGCCTTCTGCTTCTCATGCCACTAATTAATACACCTCTTGTACTAAATCTAATGATTATGAAGATGGTTACAATGCCCAGATGGTCATAAAACTGTGTTTAGTTTTTTAATTGCTCTATTCAGCCTTTGTAATGATGTGATACAATATGTTAGAAAGGGGTCTCTTCCATTATACATAAGGTCAAGTGAGATAATGGTCATTCAAGAGAATGAGAAAGAAGATGCTGATCTGATCACTCCATCTCTGGGTACCCTTTTAAATAGATGGACAACTAGAGCATTGCTTGAGTCCCAGCCCAAGCCTGTTGAAGTGGCCTCTTTAAAATCAGCAGTGGCACAATCCTCACCCAATATAGAATATATTATCATTCAGAATATTGCTCTTACCCTGTTTCTTTTCTGCCCCAATAAAATAGCTGAATACTCTGACACTCAGGTTGCTTTGTGAGACAGAGCAGCCCATTGGAACATACCTGTGCTAATGATGAGATTAGGATTATAGGACCATTGTAAGTGCCCTTGCCAATCCTCCCATCATCAATATTTCCCATGGTCTTGATTTTATTGTCAAGCTAGTTTCTTCATCTAAAGGTAAAGTCATACTCTTCTCTTACTGTATTAATTCTGAATACATATTAATTCCCATTCCCGCCAATTATGATCTATCCCTGCTATCCTCTTTCCTCCATCCACTCTTGTCTCAGCCATTCCGAAAACTTCTCTGAGCACTGCCATCTGCATTTAGCTTTTCTTTTCTTTTTTTCCAAATCATTGTAAGATTTCCATTTCCCAGGTCCCATACATTCTCTATCCTGTCACATCATCTCCTCATCCACAGCCAGAGCTCAGCCTCCCCACTACCACTGCTTATGGGTTCTCAGTAGCCCTTGGAGGCTTCATTCTGGCTTTGCATGGCTGTGCTTGAACTGAGTCAGCACAGGAGCAAGTGCTGCCTGAGCACCCTGTGTGACCAAGCACTGTATGCCCAGTGCCTTGAATAGCACTAAACCAAAACCAAATTCACTGCCATCAAGTCAATTCTGACTCATAGCAACCCCCTTTGGGTTTCCAAGGTGGTAAATCTTTATGGAAGTAGATTGCCCAGTCTTTCTTCCAAAGAGTGGCTGGTAGGTTTGAAATGCCAATCTTCTGGTTAGCAGTCAAATGCCTTAGGCACTATGCCACCAGAGCTCCTTTGTGCAGTAGGGACCCAGAACTAGCAGACCCAGCCTCACCACTTTTACAGACTTAGCCAGGGCAATTCCTCAGGGCCAGCCTGGAAATAAAACAATCCACTTTCCCTCCAGACATCTCTCCTCATTTCTCTGTAACTTCTAAACATATTTTGTAACCGAGCAAGCTGTCCCTTATCTGCCCACAAACTTGAGGGTAGGCTCAAGAGCTTACACAGATCAGAAGACTTCTTCTTAGTCCTCAAAATCATCCAGTGAAGTTTATTTTATATTTTATTTTCATTGTGATTTGGGTAAAGGATCATCCAGTGAAGTTTAAAAAGAAATATTAACCCAGAAAGAAAGAAAAATTTTAAACGTACAAATAGGAAACATTATGAATCAGACCACCGTTTTTTAAACATGTTGACTGTGACCTAAATTAACAAAGAAATTTTATATCATAGCTAAGTACACACAGAAGTATTCATAAAACAATACTTATCTTTGTGCAATGTACTCATATTTTCTAATCTAATTTTTTAAAAATTTTATTCTGTTCTGCTCAATTCCATGCCATAGTCTTTGATTTTAAAAAAATAATAATAATAAGCCACTGGTGACAACTCACTAAATTTATTTCATGACTCAGAAATGGGTCATTACCCACAATTTGAAAAATATGAGATTCTTAGAACCTAGGTTGCTAATTGAAAGTAATCTGACCTCCACAGCTCTGGTGGCCAGTACAAACCACAGAGGACCCTAGCACCAATGAAGTAACAATGCCGAGTGGTAGAGATGGCTAGCTGCCCCAAATCCATTCTCTCCTTTTTCCTAGACATATATCTACTCTGTTAGAGACCACATTTCCCAGCTTCCCTTGCAGTGAGATATAACCATGTGACTAACTTTTCCCAATAAATTATGAATGGAATTGATGGTGTAATTCTGCGCTACTTGGCAAGAAGTAAATCCCTTGCCCTGGACTTCTGCCCTTTCCGCTTCCTGTCTAAATCCTGGAATGGCACAACCTGATTGTGACATGTAGACAAAGACAATGACCTGGAACAAGAGTCAACAAACCACTGTCTGTGGGCCAAATGCAGCCTGCCATCTGTTTGGGTAAATAATGTTTCATCAGAACATGCTAAAAAAAAGCTTGTCGCCACGGAGTCAGTTCTGACTCATGGCAACCTCGTGTGTTACAGAGCAGAACTGCTCCATAGAGTTTTCTTGGTTATAATCACCACGCCTTTATTCTGTGGTTCCAACTGCACTCCTTCAGGTTGGTAGTCAAGTATAAACCATTTGTCCCCCAGCAACCGTGTACACAAACAGAAGTATTCATAAAATCCAAGCCCATCTTTTGTACTTATTATCTATGCTTGCTTTCTTGCTACGAAGGCAGATTTGAGTAGTTGCAGCAGAGACCATAGGACCTATAAAGCCAAAAATATTTGTTAGTTGGCTTTATAGACAATGTTTGCTAACTCCTGCCCTAAAGAATGCAGATTCATCCTACTGGCATGGGTCCCTGGATGAGCTCCTGGAGCAGCATGTCTCCCATCTCCTGGACTATTCTGTGAGAGAAATATAAATTTCTATCTTGTTTGGCCTCAACATTTTGGAATCTTTTTGTCACAGCATTTTACCCTGTTCCTTATCTAATACATCCTCCCAATCCTGTCTGCTCCTAGCTGTGCAGCCCTCCCAAGCCAGAGTTGTCATTGTCCCCTCAATGCTTGTAGCACAGCACTCTGCCATTGTACTGAACCCTACCATTGATGGGTCTGTCTTCATGTTAGACTAGTATTCTCAAAAGCAAAAACTCTTTATTCATTTTTTAATTCTAGCACTTAGCAAAAATGCCTGTTACCTAGTAGTTTCCCAAAGATCTCGGTCTATGGGTCTCACAAGGGAAGGTAGTTGTCCATATAGGCCTCAGAGGTTTCAGGTCACTGCTCATACCTCAGTGACCCTGTGTAAACCTTATTTTCTTCTTTGTTCTATTGCTGATAAATCTGATTTGCTTAGAACTGTCACTAACTTATTGATGAGGCTGTTCCAAAACCAGGGTAAATTTAGACTTTTTTGGCACTAAGCTGGCACTAGAATTTGATCTTCCTGCTTGGTACCCTGTAAAACCTATAGCTTCCCTGTGTAGTGTCTTTTCCTTTGGTCATTCAGAATTATCTTCTCATCTCATTAAAAAATCTGGGGTTTTTTCGACCTGCCTGACAAATTTCAAGGCACTCTGAAAGTGTAGTGACTAAGGCATTTGGCTGTTAGGCAAAAGGCTGATGGTTCAAATCCACCAGCTTCCACAGAAGAAAGATGAGGCAGTCTGCTTCAGTAAAGATTTACAGTCTTGGAAAGCCAGGGGGGGCACTGTGAGTTGGAATTGAATTGATGGCAGTGAGTTTGGTTTGGTTTGATTTTTCCAAGTTTCATCCTGAAAAAAACATTCAGGTCTCAATTTGTCTCTGGCATGGAACTGATATACCTGCTCTGAATCTAATCTTCTCAAAGTATACCAGTATACTCAGTATACCACCTCTAACAACTTATTTTGAGTTTTTTTTTAAATGCCTTCCCATTTAAAGGCACAGAGGGAAGTGACTTAACAAAATCACATACAGAAAATTTCCACTAAGGGTCAATGAGAATGTGTGTCAGATTACAAAAGGTTGGGCTCCTTAAATGTTTTGCAAAACAAAAATTACACTTTTTTTTTTTTTTTTTTTTATACAGAAGACGATATGTCGTTTTTTTTTTAGTGTTTGGAGTTCTGGTTTGCCGTCGAGTCAGCCCCGACTCATAGCGACCCCTCCTTGGGTTTCCGAGGCAGTATCACTTTTTTAACTTAGGGACCCAAATTTAAATATTTATATTCTTCTAAGAAAAGTAAGTTAAGGTTTTGACTTACAGCATTGGAGACCGACTGGTATCGATCATAACTGATGAGGACAATGTTATACACAGATGATGTACACAAAAGATAGTCAATAATGAGCCAAAACGTACACAGGCTATCTCCCATGTCCCACTTGAACACTGTGTGCGGAATGAACAAAGGAATAGAGATCACACCTGTATAGGGGAAAATAAGGGTAAAAAATAGCACAGATCAATTAGTATAAAGAAGTGTATTACAATATGTGTACAACACAATGAGGTATCTGAATCAATTAAAAATTGCTTTATTATAATTGAATAATTCATGCTATTTCATCACCAAATTCAAGACTGACTTTCTGCACATTTTTTACATAGTATTGTCTTAATTGTGGTAAATATATATGTTTAAAAAATTTTATATTTCAACCATCTTTACATGTACATTTCAGTGACATTAATTATGTTCACCATGTTGTTTAATCATCATTCTTATCCATTCCCAAATTATACCATCACTCTTAATAGAAGCTCAGTGTTCCCTAAACATTAAGTCTTCCTTTCCCCCTTTCTCCCATCCATGCTCAGTAATCACTAATAAATGTTAGACTGTTTACACTTACCCATCCTAGATAATTCATCTAAGGAGAAGAATACTATAGTTGTCCTTTTGTGACTGACTTATTTAACTCAGCATAATATTCTCAAGGTTAATCCATATTTTGTAGCATGTATGAGGACTTCATTTCTTATTATTTTTATAATTGTCCTCATGAATGTGTTACCTTCAGTGGCTCCTTATTTCTTTTCAAAGTAAGTTTGGGCCCCAACCTGTATTTCCAGCCATGTACTAATGAAATCATCTTCATGTTCCCCAAGGTCCAACCCCATGAGATGGGCCACCCTGCACCAAGCACATCCTACATTTTCACATCTCCTTGCCTTTCTTTCTTCTAAGAACTTCCTCCCCTCTCTTACTTAGTTCAGTCTATTACTTCCATCTCTTCCTTTACTCAGTTCAAACTTTGTCCATGTTATCTTTCTTGAAATCTGCTAACCAGAAGGTTGGTGGTTCAAACCCACAGGCCACTATATGCAGTGAAGATGGGTCAATCTACTTCCATAAAAATTTACCACCTTGGAAACCCAATGGGGTCACTGTGAGTCAGAATTAACTCAATGGCAGTGTTTGTTTTTTTTTTTTTAATGGGGTGAACAATAACACCAGAGAGGTACACTCTCCATAGGACCATCAACCATATGAGATCAAAAGGACAGCATTTGCCCAGGGATGAAGCTCAGAAGGAAGGAATGAATAGTAAAGAGGGAGAAACAGTAAACACAGGAAGAAAGTGGAAAGAGTGATGTTACATGTGGGGACTGCAATCAATGTCAAAATCAATCAATACAAAACAAAATGTGTATAAATTGTTGAATGCAAAGCCAATTTGCTCTGTAAACATTTGCTCAAGTCACAATAAAAAGTTAAAATAAATAAATAAATAAAACTGTTAGCATCCGTTACCTATAGGCAGAGAACTCAAAAAAAAAAAAAAAAAAAAATGGTAGTGTTGTTTTTTAAAGAGAGAGAGAGAGAGATTGGTTGCTTGTATCTATGACCCTGTCGTTTCTATCCCATTGAATCCTAAATCAATCTCCTCAGCTAAAAGTTGCCTTCCACAACTTTAAGTGCAACATTGGAAGTGCATTTCATCATCTTCCTCCCCAAAATGCTCCCTATTTCTATTAATAGAGTCATATTTTTCTTAGTCCCCAAACTCAATCTTTAACAGAACTTCTTCTTTCTCCTGCCTAACCCAACCCTTTGTAACTTTGCTTCCCTGGCCTGCTTTCCGTTTTCACTCAAGCTCAGACCCTTCTGTCTGATTTCTGCCTCGGTTGCTGCAGTTGCTTCTGGAACCATGCTGCTGCCATGCTGGTCTTGATGCCTTTAAAGTAAAGCTTCAATCCATCCAATTACTTCCTGCTTTTAAAAATCTTTAAATCCCCACATTCCCTGCAGAAAAAAACTCTAATCCAGACTCATGATACTTCTACTCAAAGACATTCATTACACAGATTCTGACCACTCTATGTTTATCACCTACTGCCCTCGGTGACACAGTGCCCAAGGCATTTGACTGCTAACCAGAAGGTTGGCAGTTCAAACCCACCAACTGTTCCGTGGAAGGAAGATAGGGCAATCTATTTCTGTAAAAATTTATGGTCTGGGAAACCCAGTGAGGGTCACTATGAGTTGGAATCTACTTGATGGCAGTGAGGGTTTTTCTTGTGTGTGTTTACCCTTGTGTTCTGGCTACCTAGTGCTGCTCTGACAAGAATACACCACAAATGGGATGGCCTTAACAAACAGGAATTTATTCTCTTACAGTTTGGAGGCTTTAAGTTCACATTCAAAGTGCTAGGCTCTAGGGCTAGGTGAAAGCCCCTCAACCTTGGGCTTCAGCTCTGCCTCCTACTCTCGGCCCCTGAAGCTAGAGGCTTTTCTTCATTCAGTCAGCTGTTGGCTGCTGAGACTGACAAGCCCAGGGTTGACAAGTAAAAAGGAAGAGTCCTGATGTTACCAAACCACACAGCCGGCCATTAATTCAAGTCCATTGAAAGTCCCAAGGTCGGCAGAGCATGGCAGGCTGCTGAGCAATGACACAGCTACATGCAGGGTTCAAGCGTGCCGTAAGCTAGAGACCATTCCCAAAGCTCTTTCTTATATATGGGAAGCAGACCACACACCCAAAGGCAACTACTCAGCTGCTCACAGTAGATTCCACCATGGAGTTGATTACCAGTCTCATCATGGGGAATACTACATCCAGCTGCCCAGCCACTCAACCAGGCCCAGCCAAGTTGATGCACAAACTTAACTTCCACACCTTGTTTGTTTATCTCCTATTATACTAAAGAGTTCTGGTGGTATAGTGGTTCAGGCATTTGGCTGCTAACCAAAAGGTAAGTGGTTTGAACCCACCAGCTGCTCTGTGGAGGAAATATGAGGCAGTCTGCTTCTATAAAGATTTACAGCCCAGGAAACTCAATGGGGGTCACTGTGAGTTGGAATTGACTCGATGGCAGTGGCACTGGGCCCTTGTATAACTATTTACGTACTAGCCAGCCTGGAGCTCACACTGGTGAAGACATGAAGGATGATTTTCTACCAGCAAGCCTATGCTGATTCGTGGACTATTCCTCCCCTCCCCATCTCTGCCTATGGAAATTCTATCCATCCTTCAAAGTTCATTTCAAATGCCACCATCCACTAACCAAATGTACTTTTTCCCACCTCTGACTACCCACAACATTTGGTATCTTGTTACAGGTTCACAACTCACTCTGTACTTCTATAACAACAACAACAAAAAAAAAAAACAACCAAACTCAACTACCATCAAGTTGGTTCCAACTCATAACAACCCCTCCTTGGGTTTCCGAGGCAGTATCTCTACGGAAGTAGATTGCCCAGTCTTCCTTCCAAGGAGTGGCTGGTGGGTTTTGAATGTCTCTTATCCACTCTACAATATTGAAAACTTTTTGAATAAAGAGATTAACTTCCTCTCCTATATCCCCTTGTTACCTAGGAGTTCTTGAGTATCTAAGAGTACTTACACAAAGTAGGTACTCTACTAACATTTGTGACCTTGGCGTGAGTTGTCACATCTGCAGAGAAATCAAGACAGAAGGAGACTAACATTTGTTGAGCAGCCACTACATTGCAGGCAAATGAATTTAGTATCCTATGAGTTCTATTTAATTTTTACTCAAATGCAAGCACTTGTGCAATTATAAATAAAAATAATCTGAATATGCCAGTTAAAATTAAGTTAGAAGCTCCTATAAAACAATATCATCAGCTGACATTTCTGCACGTCTACTTGTTATGATAAGCACTGTTGAAATGGCCATTAGGCAGTGAAAACTTACAAAGTGAATTTTTCAAAGAAAGATTAAGTTAATTTCCGGTCACTTATAATTGTATAACTCTATGAGATTGTATCATATGCAAGATATTTTTCATGTCAGCTGTATTGCACAATGTTCTACACCATACCATAATGTAATGCTATTAACTCTACTATTTAATTGATCTGGATATCTGAATATCTGAACCCATTTCCTGATTGTGCTGGTAAACAGCATACACATTAATTTCTGCTACTCTATCACTATGGAAACAGTCTACTGCCTTTTGATAGAATTAAAACTTCAGAATAACTCTAAAACCATTTTAGTCTAAGAGTTATTTGTTTCTGGAGCTATTTTCCTTTGTATGTTTGGGTCTATAAGCATTCGTCTTTAATAAGATAGTTTTCAGATGACCATCCCCTCCAACACTGATTTGCCTATGTATACCTTTCACCAAAAGGCCATACAGTCCCCTGAGCTTTAATACATAAACTTCTTATTTTTAATTGTTCCCAGTGTCATACAGTTCCTTGAAATAAGTTTTTAGAAATAAATTATTATTTTAAAAGATTATCTTAAATAAAGAAATGGAACTTACCCACAAAGAAGTCAGAAATGGCCAAGTTAAGAAAAAAATAATTACTTCGATGTCTAAGACTTTTGTCCACCACAAAAGCTAAAATGACCACAGCATTTCCTAGCATTGTAGCAAAAGCTAGTAATGCCATTAAAAATGCTAAAGTAATACGAGTACCTGATGAGAAATTATTTGTGCAATTAGTATCTAGCATCATATCAAATTATGAAGAAGCTAATACAGCAGATTAATCCTCTAAGTCAATTCTGGCAAGTATGCTTTCCAACTGAGCCCTAAAGCATGAAGTCTCCTACTGAAAAATAACATTTTTAGTATCTAATGCTGATCGCATAGTACTTCCTGATTCTGATAAAGCAAACTTGTGGTAACAGTTTCCCTTTAACTGACACTGAAAAATTATTTTCAAAAACACAGTAAAATGTTTTATCTTACACATCTTAATATGATTCATCCATTCCCCATTAATAGAAAAATATTGTGATGTATATAAAATTAATACAATGTATATGTAATAACTCAGTTCAAATGATACTCATTTTTTAAAATAATATGTTGTTGTTGTTGTTAGGTGCCTTCTGGACATGATGGAGTAATAGGGACTGGATTTACTGTCCCATCTGAAACAACCAAAAAACTGAATGAAATATATAATGCAAGGTTTTGGGGTTTTTAAAAATATTTGATTGTGTTTGAAGTGAAAATTTATATAGTAAATGAGGTTCCCATTTAATAATTTGTTTACATGTTGTTCCATAACATTGGTAGAATTTTCACAAAATGTCAGGATTCTCATTATTTCCATTCTGTTTGTTCTGTTTGTCTTGATCTAGCTTCCCAGCCCCTCCTTGCCTTCTCATCTTGGCTTTTGGTCTCATATAGTTGATTATTTAAGGAAGCACATTATTCATGGGTGGTATTGTTTATTTTATAAGCTAATCTATTATTTAGGAGCTCTGGTAGCATAGTGCCTAAGGCATTAGACTGGTAACCAGAAGGTTGGTGGTTCAAACCCACCAGCCACTCCTTGGAAGGAAGGTTGGGCAATCTACTTCTGTAGTGATACTGCCTCGGAAACCCAAGGAGGGTGGCTATGAGTTGGGTCCGACTCAATGGCACATAACAACAACAACAATCTGTTGTTTGGCTGAAAGGTGACCTCTGGGAGTGATTTCAGTTCCAAGTTCAAAGGTTATCTTAAGGTGATAGTCTAGGTGATTCCTCCTAGTCTCTATTTTCTAGTAAGTCTGGCTTTTTTGGTAATTTGAATTTTGTTCTACATTTTTCTCCCATTCTATCTGAAACTTTCTGTTGTGCCCCTGGTCAGAACTGTTGGTAGTGGTAGCCAGGCACCATTTAGTTCTTCTGGTCTCAAGCTACAAAAGGCCATGCTTCGTTTGGGCTGCTAGCCCTGTAGAGTAGTTTTTTCCTTGAGTCTTTCATTTTCTTCATTCTTTTTTTGCTCCAAATGAGTAGAGACCAATAGCTGTGTCTTAGATAGCCACTCATAAGCTTTTAAGACCCCCAGATGTCACTCATCAAACTAGGGTGTAGAATATTATATGATACAAGGTTTTCAAGGTACTGGGCATCAAGCAATGAAGGACAATGATCTCTGAGAGAACAGGGAAACACGAATAGGGAATAGCTCTACAATTGTCCCAGCTTACAGTTTTGGGAATGGTGTCTCGGAGTGATGCAAACGATTAAGCCCACTTGAAAGGCTGGCAGTTCAAACCCACACAGAGATGCCTCAGAAAACATGTCTAGAGATCTGCTCCTGAAAAGCCATGGCCTTAAAAATCCTATGGATCTCCAGAGACCAGAAGAACTAGATGGTACCCAGCTACCACTATTGACCATTCTGATCAGGGCCACAATGGATAGACCTGATAAAATGGGAGACAAATGTAGAACAGAATACAAATTCTTAAAAAGTCCAGATTTACTTAACCAGATGAGACTACAGGACATTGTCCATGAGTATAGTGCTCCATTAAAAAAAAAAAAAAAAAAAATCTATATGAGACCAAAAGCTCAACAATTACTCTAAAACAAAGATGAGAAGATAAGGGGACAGGGAACCTAGAGTACTGGAAACAAAACAACCAGAATTCAGTTAAAAAGAATGTTGACACATTGTGAAAAAGTAACTAATGTTGCTGAACAATTTGTGTAGAAAATGTCAAATGGGAACCTAGTTTGTTGTGTAAATTTTCTCTGAAAGCAGAATAAAATATTATTTAAAAAAGAGGAAAACCCTATAGACTAGTTCTACTCTGCACACAAGAGGTCACCATGAGTCAGAATAGACTCCATGGCAACTAACAACAACCTCACTGTCTTCGAAGAGTTTCAGGACATGGTGCAGGGAGGCGAAATCCAGGAAGAGCCCATAAGACTCCCTGAGATGAGGAAATGGAGCTGATTTAAGGGGTATCAGAGAGGGCTCTGTACCAGAGCTACATCAAGAGAAAACTGGAGATTGGCAAAGGACCCCCTTCAAGAATTTAGCAAAGTATTGATCAGCATAGTGTATGAGGAAACTTTCTTAAGCAGGGAAATGAACCGCTTGAAAAAGATGAGAGGGAAAAGGACCTAGTTCTCTCTCAGGGCCCAGATTAGTGCTTATTCCCACCAGCTAGACAGAAAATTTTAAAAAAGGATAATTCATAGAGCATTTGGGTAGAATACTCTGAAAGGTCTTGCCAGTGTCGTAGAAAATAACTAGCCTTGAACTAAACACTGCTAGACCTTACCTTAAAAATCTTAATATAAATACCTGAAAAGATCAAACTGTTTACAGGTAATTTAACTGCAGCCAAGAACACAGCTCAAGAATATTTATAGAACACAAAAATATTGAGCCTCCAAGGTAAAATCCAATTAAAAATGTTTAGAGTCCAATTAAAAATGATCAGGCATGCCAAGAAGCAGGCAAATATGATCCATCAGGAGAAGAAAAATCAATCAAGTGAAACCAAGCCAAAATCGACAGATATTAACAGACAAGGACATTAAACCAGTTATTATAGCTTATGCCATATATTAAAAAAAAAAAAAAGAAAAAAGTAGAGATAAGTTGTTGTTGTTATGTGCCATTGAGTAGCTGGTGGGTTTGAACCACCAGCCTTCTGATTAGCAGTCAAGTACCTTAGGCACTATGCTACCAGAGCTCCTGTAGGTAGAGATATAGAAAATATTTTAAAAGATTCAAATCAAACTTCTAGAAATGAAAACTACATGCTTGCGATTTGTTTTTTTTAAAGTACGTGAGAAGGGATTAATAGCAGACTAAGATGGGGCAATCTACTTCCATAGTGATATCGCCTCAGAAACCCAAGGAGGGGTCGCTATGAGTCGGGTCCAACTCGAGGGCCCATAACAACAACAACAACAAATATTGCAGAAATAAAGATTAGTAAATTTAAACACATAGCAATACAAACTTTCCAAAATGAAACACAGGGTAAAGAGAATTAAAAATAAGTAAACAACAGAACATCAGTAAGCTGCAGGACTTCAAGTGGCCCAATACATGTGTAACAGGAGTCTCTGAAGAAACCAACAGAGGATATCTAGGAATAGAAAAGAAGGAACAGATACAACATTTGATTACATAATAGCTAAAATCTTCCCAAAATTGATAAAAACTATAAACCAAGAATCTTAATGAATCTGAAACACAAAAACAAAGAAAATATAAAGAAAGCTACACAAGGCACATCAAATCAAATTGCTCAAAATCAACGTTAAACAGAAAATCTTAAGAATAGTCAAAGAAAAAAGATAAATTACATACAAAATAAGGAAGATATGGATAGTTGCATATTTCTCATTGGAAACAATGCAAGCAAGAAAATAGTGGCACAACACCTTAAAATGCTGAAAGAAAAAAAAATTACTGTTGCCCTAGAATTCCATATACTGAATACAAATATCTTCCAAAACCAAAGGCAAAATAAAACCTTTTCTAAACATTAGCACTGAGATAATTCATTATTAGCTAACCTGCACTACAAGAAATGTTAAAGGAAGTACTTCAAGCAGACAGAAAATGATAGCACATGGAAATAGGAATTTGTACAAAGGAATGAAGAGCACCAGAAATGAAGGCTTTCTTGTTTCCCTCTTCCAATGGAATGTAAGTTGGTAGAGGACAAAGACTATATTTTGTTTCATTTTATTTTGTTGTTTTTTCTTTAAGTATGATATACATACAAAGCAGTGCACAAATTATGAGTGTATAATTTACAAATGTTTACAAATTTTGTGGGTTTATTATTATTATTATTTATTTACAAATTGAACATACCAATCTGTCTTAGCTCTCCAGTGCTCCTATAACAGAAATATTGCAAGTGGATGGCTTTAACGAATGTAAATTTATTCTCTTACAGTTTAGGAGACTAGATGTCCAAATTCAGAGTGCTAGCTCTAGGGGAAGATAAGGCTAGACGTCTGAGTTCAGAGTGCCAGCTCTATGGGCTGGGTAAAGGCTCCTTGACCTTGGGCTTCAGCTCTGCTTTCCTGGCCCACTGGAGCAAGCTGGAGGCTTCTCCTGACTCATGCAGCTGCAGGGGCTGACAAACTCAAGATTGGCAGGCAGTATAGCAGATTATTGGCTCACAGGCTTTGAAGGCAACAATTTCAAGATTGGCAGACAACATATCAGGCCACTGGTTCAAGTCCAGGAACCAGAGATGAAGACCAAATGCAGTATCATTTCCATAAAAAAGAGGAAGCAGGCCACATCCAGAAGGCAACTACCCTTCAACTGATTAATGGCTCACAGCATATCCCACTATGGAGGTGATTACACCACATCCCATCTTATCAATGGGAATAACTGCAGCAAAGCTGCCAAGCCACTCAAAATCATGGTCCAGCCAAGTTGACACACAACTTTAACTACCACAGGCTACCCCTTGTCAACATGGCACCTGTACACATCTCCTTAAATCATACATCTTTGGGTGGCCTAATTCTCCTAATCCATCTGAGTGGCAACATCACCCCCTTGGCCTGGCAGTCCCTGTTATTCTCTCCCTTGAGAATGGCAGTCCACCCCTCATCTTTGAGCAATGGATATGGCCCTATCCTGCTGGCACTCATGTACGGCAGACTCGCACTCCAGAACCAAGCTGGTGAAGATCTGACTCTGAAACCTATGAGGCTTTGTCAGTTCTACCCTTT